CACACACACACACACACACACACACACACAGTCTCAAATGGAGTGCATGATCCGTGGTCTGCAATACTCACGCCAACCGTATTCCAGCCCTGCATTTGATAGGTCTCCGTTCTTAAAGTTTATTAAGGTCATGCACATGCATCATGTTGCTCGCACAATACGGGGAGTCCCTCGGCTACCAGAGGTCGTTGAATTACATCCATGGCCTGCTCTTGTCAAGGAAATATGTATCTGTGACAAGATGGTACAACCCATTCGTGTCCAGTTCTGTAATTTTACAGAAGTCGCAATCGACATAACAAGCAATATGACTCCTCCAGACCCTAGCAATTTCCCTCGTGGACAAGCATTTCCACATTGTCGTGATATTGTTGACGGTCATGTGGCCATAGTAGACTACACTATCATACAAGATAAATTGTGGGCACTCTTCTTTGGAGGCTCCCAGTACCGCCTCATTTCCAACACACGGATATGATGAAAGCACCGGAACTCGGTCTAGACGAGTATACAACCAAGTTAACAGTGGCCAGGAGATCAGCATGCAACAACGAGTCTACAATTACTGACAGAAGTACATAAAGTATTTCGCGATGTCCATAGAATTTCTCTAGTTCAGCATACCGGGCACCTACTCAGGCTGCCTTCTGAGTACCGGGCACCTATTCGTGGTCACATCAGCCATCACAGAGGCCTCATCGGTGGAGACATTCTAGGTCAGATCGGCCGTCACAAAGGCCTCTTCAGCGAAATTGATCCCCATCTCCACCGCCACCTCCTAGACAACGGCCGTCTTTGTACTTAAACAGCATGATCATCGCAACCTCATCTACTCCGACGCCATGCTGGCAACCATACAAAAAAGCATCATTGCTCCCGATACACACCAGCCAGGAAGAGTACATACCATGTCCAGTGCCGACAATATGACAATGATTTTTTTTACAATGCTGCAGGCCAGCATGTGCACCGGACCCTGGTGTGCAGCACATGTGCACCAGACCCTGGGGTGCAGCCACATCTGCACGGCTAGCAGCCAGTCCGAGCACAAGTGCGGCTGATCAGCTTCCACCTCTTACGTCTGACCCACCCACTTCTCATCCACCTAGCCCCGATTGCTCCGCCACTCCGACAGACAACCATCTACCTTCTGATCACTTGATGGAGCCCCCGACTGGAGATTATCTCTCTGCAGAACACATGCTGGAGCCAACGGGGTCAATACAACCAGAGGAGCTTGACAACAGCAGACAAGACCAGAATGAACCTCCCCGTACCATGCAATCTGCAGAGTTAAATGAAACTAACGCAGCGAAGAGGGTCAGTCAGCTTCCGCACCCCTGCCGCGCAATCTGCAAAATCCACTGATCTCGTAGTGCTACAGTGAGGCCACTATGCTTACCCTGTCATTAATGTATGTCCAGTCGCTTACAATTGCAACCCTCATACGGTTTCTAATTCTGCAGATATCGTCCGCTGGATAGAAGAAAAGCACCGTGCTGTCTGCCCAGAGGATGACAGTACTGTGCCTGGTGTGAACATCGAAGTCCTGTCTATGACATTTAGGTGCGGACGACTGCAACTCCAGCCCGCTCCACAGAATTACATGCCACATATGGACCCAAATATTCATGCGTACCTTTGTGTGGACCCTATGGGACAATCGCAGTAGGGTGTACATGGTAGGAAATATTAACTCTTTCTATCACCGGGTGGTAGAATCCCACTCAGTATGGCTAGTCAATCAGGAACAGTACGTAGATGTGCACTTGCAAGCTCTACAGCCTCCAAAGAACAATCCGGCTGAACCTCCCCCCTCCCCTGGACATGACCAGCCAGTGTCCCTTCTCTGTGTAGATCGGACAGATTCTACCTTGTTGGATAGTAAAGGGGCCTTCTCTACAGGATGGTGACTGTGCCATGCCATTGTTTCTTCACGAAGCGATAGTTTGGTTACCATGCACACGCCATAGTCTCTGCTCCGAACACTGCGAACGCATGGTCACTGCCAGCCTCTCCTGCAAAAACTGCAACCAATTGTCTTGCACGCGTCCCCCCACCCCTTTATTACGTGCCCGATATGCCGTTGTGGCCTTGACATGCCATGCCTAAATAGTTGTGAACGTGAGCCTGCTTCCCTGCTCACATGTCAGGGATATGCCACGTGTCGTCAATGTTTCCAGGAAGCTGTCGTATAAACTATGCGTAGCTACGGCGTGGACCATCCCCGATGCCATCATCCACGACACCCTCTCTTAGCATGTCCTACATGCAATGTTGGGCACACACCTGCTGCAATCGCAGTAGGATCTCCCTCATAAGGGCCAGGTAAACGACAGATGCAGCAGCCCGAGGAGGAAAATAGACTACCATATGAATCGCCTATAGATTGCTGTAGCGGCTGTACTGAAAGGCTATCACCACCAGGGCGAGCTGTTGCAGACCAAATCCTGCGGCAGCTAAGCACCCTGGCTTTGGATCAATCATCGTTGTCGTCTGCCCACAGAGAAGGAAAGAATACTGGGGAAACCTGAGCAATATGCCACTCTGCGATGAACCACCCGAGATTCGGCTAGAATGTGGTTCACATGCCTTGTGCCGTGAGGATTATCAAGGAATAGCCCATGCGAGTTTTTCTTTTCATATGCATGATGACAGTCAACACTGCACTAATGTACGACACCCTGACATGTCGTGTCCAACTCTGTAGACAGGGGCTGGATCGACAATGCCTGTACAATTGCGGTCGGCATGCCTCTGTGTTCCTGGCACGTAGGAGCCGCGTGGCCCGTGACATCTGTCTACGCCATGCCATTCGATGCAGCAACTGCAACTGCGAGAATTGGATGTGGTGCTTCCGCAGTCCACTCCCGAACCGGTCCGGTCCGGTCTGTAGAGGTGGCCACTTATGCAGCCCGAACACTGACTGGCCTCATGTGCAATTCTAGAGTAGTCTGTCTGCTCCATTGGTGAGTATTCAGAACCTTGTGAGAACTCCACCTCCTATTTCCTTCCTTCCTCTCTCCTCATCTGCACTACTAGTAAAAATGCATACGGATGAGCATCATTAAGAGAACACACAAAATATAAGCTGAAGATCTGAGAAAAATGACCAGGAATATACCTCTTCCTTTACTCTGCCTCCTTTCATAACGTGCAAGTGCGGGCCGTTGTGGCACACGGGGATGTGGGCAGCTCGCGCTCACCCCCAATCAACGTGGCAAGCCTTGTACATGAGAGGCACAGTAAAAGGGGACTTGCAAGGACACAACTGACTAAAAATGGGTACCCAAAAAAGCCAAGTGAACACAGTTGAAAGGGGTTAAAACTTAAAACGCTTCTATTTTGCTCCGTGTTGCTTGCTATAAAGGTAACTAACTGCTTCATTGTTGCTTTGTCTCAACTCTCAAGTGTTTTCGTTGTCTGCAATAGGACTAAAGCTGCTTCAATTTTGGATCTCCTCATCTGGGTGGAATATAGGGGCTGTTGTGGTGAAAATTCCATTCAAAACACACACAGATGCATTCACTTGCATACACACACAGACATTCAAAAGGCCTTTGTTCTTTTCCTAAGCAAACAACAAATAAAGTGTAATAAACAAACAAGTGAACACTAAGGGTGAGCTCAGACCTACCCGGGTAGGGTTGTGTGCTACTGCAGTAGATCTATCATCTCTATATCACATGGGATTCTCAAACTGTATCCAAGACAATAGTATAAAAAACTCCAAAAACTTAGAGAAAGTTATTGAATAGGCGCAAACTCGCCAAGTACGACCTGCCGATGCCGGGGCCTTACAAAGCCAAAATGATCCCCCGATGTACAGTCAGGAGGACAGCCTGTGACTCCCAAAGCGGGACCCCAAAGCGGGAATCAGGGGGGCTAGACCCCCCTACCTGTCAGTGTGCGCTAGGTTGAGTGGCTATCATCAGACGGTCTGGCAGAGAGTAGTCAGAGGGGAGGGTGGGGGGGGAGGGAGAGGCGCAGGTGACACTTTGGGCACCTGAACCTGCAACCCACCTTACGAAATAAGCTATAGACTCAGGGGGGGAAATTTGACATTGAAGTTGAACCTCACGTTCAAGTACGGGTTGCGCGGAAATCGAACCCGAACTAGACCGATGAAAGTAGGTAATATAGCAAAGATGCTATTTTTCTATGCATGAAAGGCATTGATGCCTCTACAGTTGCCCTACTTGCCTAGACTCCCTAGAGCAATTGCTCTTCCCACACTTTATGTCGACCTATTAAGGGTATGATCGTCCCCAAAGCGATTGCTCTTCCCACACTTTATGTTGACCGATTATGGGTATTATCGTCCCCAACTTATGTACAAGAATTCTTCTTTTACCGAAGATAAAGCGTGATATCTGTTCTGATCAGTTTAATATCTGATCCGTGGTCCATCGGACCACACTATATCACAGAACAGACTTGCTCTATAAATGGAAAATAAAAGCTTATTGTGAGTTATGTTTACTCCATTCAAGCAAAAACACGTCTACCATGATTGATTTTGCCGTCACTGTTGACGATGACTTCCAGTCCAACTGTAAAATGTTCCTTTACTCTCTCTCTCTCTCTCTCTCTCTCTCTCTCTCTCTCTCTCTCTCTCTCTCTCTCTCTCTCTCTCTCTCTCTGTGTGTGTGTGTGTGTGTTTGTGTGTGTGTGTGTGTGTGTGTGCCTGAATCTCACTCTGCTTGTGTTGGCCTGTGTGTTTGTTTGTGCGTATGTATCTCTGCCTTTGGCCAATACAGTTCCAAACTATACCAACGGATGGTGAAGCCCCCAAGATTTTGAAGTACATGGGAGACATCATAGCCCATGTCAGACATTCGGGCGCTGCTGCAGCCTCCACATAAAATGGGGCCCCAGCAAGATATCTGTAGCCTCCCTCCTCCCACACCACTCTTCCTCCCACCCCTGCTTACACAGATAGGGCAGCCAAAACCTCTTAGGCCCTTAGGCACATACACAGGTTCAGGCCTCGACAGTTCCCTAGATCACACCGGTCCCAGTCACTGCACCCCTCCCACTGGTTCCACTTGCTCGGTTGACCGCGGTGGCCCCACTGGTCCCATTGGTTCAACTGGTTCCAGTGGTCCCTCGGCTCATCGCTCTGCTCCCACTGTTCCTGTTGGTTCCACTTGCTTCCTTGGTTCCACTGGTTCCAAAGGTCCCGCTACTGCTGGTTCTACTAGTCCCACTAATTCAAAAGTCTGTCCTGCGTCACCCGAACTGTGAGTGAGGGTTTTCAAGAAGCCATACGCTCGAAGGTCTCGTCTCTTTTCTAACCTCTTTGCGTTTTTCCTTGAATGTGCATGCGTTGTAGGAGGTTTGGGGGAGGGAGGGGGGGGGATGGGGGGTTCTGGGCATCCATGGGGGAAGGGTAGGGTTGTTTAGGATTGCAACATTGCTAATCGTAGCCTTTTCAAGCTTTTAATACTTTCTTTTCATGTATGTGGCCTCACATCATGTTTCTTAGGTGATGTTTCCCCTGCTTTGCAGTTTATTTTCCTCTTTTGCAGATGAATCTATGTTTGCCTCCCAAGTGGAAATCTAGTATACAATGCCATACATCTATAGATTCTATACTTATTGATTTGAGCAGTAAGATTGTAAGACAAGATTGGCAATTGACTTTATTTGATTTGGCTTGGCTTGGCTTGGCTTGGCTTGGTTTGGTTTAGTTTGGTTTAGTTTGGTTTGGTTTGGTTTGGTCTCAAACTGAAAGAAATAGGAGAGAAGGCGAAAAGGTGGTGGCAGAAGTGCAACAACAGGGCAGTGAAGGATCCACGCATGATAAATATATACCGAGCAGCGCACTGTCACAGTGCAGTCATTTTTCTTCTTATCTGCATGAAAATGGGCTTAACAACCAGAGTATGCATTCGGCGCTCAGAGAGAAACCGAGACCAACAAAAAAAAAGAAAAAAGGTAGTAAACCGTAGAAATCATTTTAAAAATGACAAATCGGCCACAAGCTCGGTGGCATCGTTTTCTTCTTCAACTTACTGGCCTGGGTTTCATAGCATAGGATTCCCTCCTCCATCTGAAATG